GGAAATGAAGTCATTTGAACCTGCAACTGCAAAATTGCAACTGAAAAAACGGCTATGTTACTGCATGCATGCGCAGTGTGACGTGGAGGATGTTTAGAAGACAGAAAAGAGTCATGTCGAGGAGGATTGTTTCCCAGTCTATAATAGTGTCTCACACCTGCAGTTCTATAACCTCCTGAACCGCTATGCCAGGATGAATGAGAGAGGTACTGTGGGAAAGCTGTGTGGAGAAGGTGATAGATGTGCAACCGTTAACTGCATTCTCCTGCACTCCAAGGTATTACAGAGAGGAACAGCACTGCTTTCCCAGCGTTAAGAACCATCAATGTCTTTCTGATATCAGCAGCCATTACATCAGTCCTCACCCTCAGCAAAGACTCATTTGAATGTCTAGCAATGCACACTCCAAGCACTAAGGGCCAAACCGAGTGTGACACAAAGGTCAATTATCAGATTTTCCACTTTTAAAAAGCACTAATAATAGGCACAGCCACCAGCACCCCACCCTGCCCAATCCATTTGGAACAGCACTTGCAGAGAAAGGCTCTTTCTTCCCATGTCCTTTCTTGGCTTTCTTGTCCAATAGGAAAAGAACATTGCCTTATTAATGCCTTATTTCAGAAGGGCTTACCCCAAAGAAATCCCCCTCAGTCACACTTTTTGATACATGCACAGGGAGAGAAGCACAGAGAGCCTTTGGGCTATTGGATGGTATAAAAATGAAATAAAAATAAAGGTTATGCTATGTTTATTAAACAGCTAAATGTTCAGTTATAAAATAGAAAGTGGTGTGTTAACATTTTCCACTCAGGTAGCGCACCCCACTCCCCCCCCACACACACACATTACTCTCCATATGTCACTGCTTTAAGATGTTTTCCCTGGCCTGGAAATGATCCATCAGGGAGAAAAGTCTGTGCTCAGCAGAATGGCAAGAGATGAAGAGGGTGACATGAGGAGGGCTTAGCACGCCTCTTAGCAGGACCTTCCCAAGACGTTTATTTTTTTTCAATTTATATCCTGCCTTTTTTCCTACAAAGGGCTCAAGGCAGCTTACATCATTCTCCTCCTCCATCTTATCCCCACAACAACAACCTGTGAGGTAGGTTGGGCTGAGAGTCTGTGACTGGCCCAAAGTCACCCAGTTGGCTCCATGGCTGACGTTTTGTTACTGGAGGTGAAGGGCAAGACATGGTTCCCTCTCCTTCCATGTACATAATCCGGCTGGATAGGCTGTTGAATCTTTCCTCAACACAGAGGATGGGGCAGTTTCCTCCACCACACCGGAAGGCAGCAGCTTGACAGGTCCCATGGCACACACAGGGTGTTCGTTCAACACCCTGCTGCATCTGCCTCCCAAGAGACTGAGGCTCTCTGCCTAATGACTGGGCTGCTCCTGCCTTTGGGTGAGTAAAAGTGAACCCCACCCCTGCTTTGGAGCCAAAGTTGGGCCCTTATGGTCAAAATGGCAACATATCCACAAGAGGCTCAAGGAAAGAAATTCCATACAGTGTGTTTGCATGTGTGTGTTCATGTGGGTACCCTTCTGAGAAAACAAGCTGCCTCACTGACCCCGCTTCTCCAAATGGTGTAGAATTCCAAGGGTGTGGGACATATCGAATTGGCAGTTGGCATTTTGTAATGTTTTCATTTCTTTTAAAATTGAGCAGTTGAGCGCAGGTGGTAAGAGGTAAAGCACTCCAAACTAAAGTCAAAGTCTGCTGCTTCCACAAGAGATTTCTAGAAAGAGGCAGCCAACACCCTAAAAAAACTTTTACCTTACAGAGCCCAAACTCAGCTCTCTATCCCTGACTCAGAACTGCAGGTGACTTTTTCCCATTCACAATTCTCCTTCCCCTTCTTTTGGACAGGATGAAAAAGTAAGGATGCATCATTTTTTGGTTTTCTTGGACTATTACCTATCATTTCCCTAACAAAGACTGTGGCCAGACCTTTGACCAGGGAGGATCAAAAACCATCTGTAGTCTTTTTGGCCCCATTAATCCCCTCCTGTCTAAACCTCAAACCTCACAAGTGGCAAGTAGGAGACAGGCAATTATTCCTATTTCAAGAATGGGGAACTGAAGCTGAGCCTAAAGCTTTAAAGACCAAGTTCAAATGCGGCCTGCTAATGTGATAACCAGTTAGGGCAGGATTTGGCAGGGTACCCCTGCCTAGATCTTCTCCCTCCCTCACGTGCTTCAGAAGAAATATTACACTTCTTAGCAACTGTTGTAATTTATCACTCTGTTCGAATCTTCTTTTTTCTCCCTTCCCATCTGGAAAGGGAGGGAGAGGCAGGCTGGTGCTGTGCTTGGAGGGGGTCTCCATAGGCAGGCAGGAGGCAGGTGATATGTCGCAAAGGCGGGATGCAACAGGTGGTTCTACTGTGACATTCTAAGGGCACCAGCCTATGCATGTCTAGACAGAAAAAAGAGCTGGGGCATGCTGGACGCTGAAGGACTATTTTCTCTCTAAACCTGCAGGGAAAGTGGCCTCAGTGGACAGCCTCTGCTCTGTAAACAAATACCTTGAAATTCAGCAAATGAAGCCTGCATTGATCCTCCTCTCATCCTCTTGTGCACCATCACAACTTGCAGATGGGTGCAGATGGCATTCTGGAGAGCTGGATCACCAGCTTGAATGTTGTGACACCCACTTTAGTAGGGAGAGCACCAGTCTCAGCAACAGCTGATTAAAGGGGGGAAGCACTCTGTACATATCTGGGCACAATCCAATAGCCACTGCATGCTATTACAATGACCATAGGGTAGGTTAGTGTCTCAGCTCCAGCCTCAAAAAAGCATTCCGAGGTCAGAGCTAGGACTTCAACCACACAGCACCCTCCCTCCACCTTTGCAGACAGCATGGCCTTTTCTAGTGTCTAGTGTGACTTGGAGTCAGCAGGTTCTGAGGAGGAATGAGACTCTGTAGGGATATAAGAAAACTGCCCCTCCTTGTGCCCAGGGACAAGAGACACTGAGGACCCAAATTGGCAGACTATGTACGTAATTTCGGAGCAAGAGAAATGCAGGAACAATCCTCACCTCTGAATTGGAAACTTGTTATTCTTCCTGTATGGAGAGCTTTGGGCTGCCACATTGAATGGCATCTTTATAGAAATGCCACCTGCAGCTGAACTTTTAACAATGTCACTTTTTTTAATTACTCAGTAGGACCTGGGTTTTCATCAGAACAGGTATTCTAAATCAAAGCTACTGTAGCTGGATCCAAAGATATGCAGTGGAAATTTTTCCAAAGCAGAAACATTTCTAGTACTTTATATTTTGTAAGTTTTTAAAGTAATGATGGATGGATGTCAATTTCAAATAACCCATTAGGCAGGCCTGGAAGCTGAAGTGGTAATTAATATTTCTCAGGTGATTATTCTAGTATATATATTCATCCCTGCAATACATATACTGTATATCTAAGAATGAAATGGAACAAATACATAGTGACAATGAAGTACCAACAACCTTAGTAGAAAAGAGATGAACTCGATGAAATAGGTGAGCAGTTGTCAGCATATTTTGCACAGTTCTTTGGGCTGCTAAAATGATTAAGTGTATCAACAGTTGTCAGTGCTTTGGGGTTTTTCTTCTTAAATTTAAACCATGTAAGGGATATATAGTCTATTCTCTCAATTTTTATCAAGTATTCCAAAAAAAGTTTACATAATATAACATTTTAATCTTATGGACAGAGCAATCCCTAGGAGGCCCAAGGAGTTCTTCAGAATCCATTGCCTACGTCAGGAAAGAACGTCAACCTTGGATCTGGGAATCTGCATTCAGAATACCCTTCCCCAGCTTGCACAGAACACAGAAGGCACAGCGCGAGATGTTTCTTGAGATCGTAAGACCAGACTTGGAGAAGGGCTAGAGATATTCTGGGTGGGCAAGGATGGGCGGAGACCATGTTCACCAGGGTATGACATACCCTGACAGCACTCCAGCCTCCTCCCATCTCCATTCAAAGTGCCACAGCTAAATGTACTGACATTTTAAAATTAAAGTTCATATATTTTGCAGCATTTTGAGACTGTAAGACACTGATTTCCACTCACAGTTCAGAGCCTCTGGTTAAGGCTAAAAAGTTGAAATTCCTGGAATTTGTACCTATTATGACTTGGTACATAAAATAAACACTTATCTCCCACATGGTTATTTCTTTGGTGAGATATCAGCTTTCTGATGGATACCGCAATGGCCAGGGTCAGACTATCATGGAAGAGAAGCCATGGCAGCGTCTTTCCCACACCTGCGTGCATTACGGTTGTACGCCATGCAATCTGCCTAGCTGCCCTTGCGGCACACACTTGCCCTGTTGTTCCAACCTGGAGCAGCCTGGATGGGGCTGGGGCGGATCCCACAGCCAGGAACTACAGCAGAGTGAAGCAGCAGTGCGCCTACACTATGGAGCCTTGTACAGCAAGAAACAAATTCACGCAGGTCGAGCCTGTTCACACGTGATGCCTGGAACATCTCAGCATACCCCGATGTTTAGATGACACGCAGGAGCCCAGCAGCAAGTCTGGTGTCCTGCAACAGCAGGGGTTGGACCCGATGGCCTTCACGGTCCCTTCCAACTCTACTATTCTATGATTCCAAACTGTCTGCCCCTCTGCCCCATTCCCTGAAGCGGGCCACAAAGGTAGCTCGGCCCGGGCCGCCGGAATGGCAGCGCCTGCCCGAACGCGGCTCGCCTGCAAGGGACGGGGGCGCGCGGGGGGCTCCGACTGCTCAGGCGCGACGCGAAGGCCGCTTGCACTCGCTCAGGGGCCCTCTTTCCACGGCATTGCAGGCGGCAGCGCTCCGGGCGATTTCCTGGCCTACGAGAAATGGGTCGGGGGTATTTCTCCAGACGGGGCGTCACCAGGCGACGGCCGAGTACCCATATGCTGCCGGCGGTCCCTCCTCCAGGGGCTGGAGAGGAGGGTCCGGGGCGGCCCCGTGGGCGGGGAAGCTCCGAGTGGAGGCTGTTCGTCGGCTGCCCGCCGCCTGGTCGGAGCCTCCCCGCCTCGCGTCCCGGCTTTAGGCAGCCTAGAGCCAGAGAAGGAGTAGCGGCGGCGGCTACCCGGGGAATGCGCTGAAGATGGCGGCCGGCCGGAGAGCGCCGAAGAGCGGCTTGCTGGAGCTGCGAGCGCCGGGCGAGCAGTGGCTGCGCGTCCTGGTCACTCTTTCGGAGGACTTCCTGAGCGTCACCCCCAGCGGCAAGGGTGCCGAGGAGCCGCTGCAGCCGCCGCCCAGCCCGGTGCAGCTGAATGGCGGCGAGCCGGGCGCCCTCGTCCCGGACTCGCTCACCAACATCAAGCGCACGGTGCGGATCGTGAAGCAGGAAGTGGGGGGGCTCGGCATCAGCATCAAAGGTAAGGGGGGGCACCGGCGGGGATCGCCGGCTGGGCCAACTTTGCAAGCAGCGCGGCTGTTTCTCCCATCCGAGTGCCGACCTGCTGCCCTGGCGCGAGGAGACGGCTGTAGCCCAAGCGGCTCCCCCGGCAGCGGGGTTGCCACTTGGTCTCCAGGCTTTGAGGGTGGCTATTTTTGGGTGTCACGCCCTGCCCTGCCCTGCCCTGCGGCGCGGGAGATGACATTTCACGAACTTGAGCCATCCCCCGTGGTTAGACCCTTTCCTTAAGCGCGTGCCAACGCATCCCCCGAAGGCAGATTTCGTTTCTACGCTCCCGAAAGCCAGGATGGAGTGAAAAGCGTTCGAGGAAAGTCCCACCTGAAGTTCACAAGACGCTAGGTAGGGTATTAATTGCAGGCGCTGATGGAGCTGCTCCGCTGCCCTTAAGGAATTGGAACTCCATGAAAGTTTGAAAGGCAGAATTTGGCAGGAGTGCTGGCGACGTTCTCCTTTAGGCTGAGCCTACTTATCCTAGGAACTTGCGCACGTTTTCAAGCAAACTCGTTTCTTAGATGCCCAACTCTAGGAAGTAACCTACACTCCACATGCTTCACATAAACTACATTTTTCAAATCGCCCCTGCAGATATTCTGTAACTGATCCAACATTGTTAAATGACTATTTATTTTGGTCTGAATTTTGACCTTAATTCTGAAGAATTACATAGACCATGTTCAGTCAAAATCATCCAATTGATTTGATTTCTAAGGCAAAGATACCTTTGAATGTCAGCCTCTTATTGGTGGACTTTACTGGGTATCTCACTAAGGTTAAAACCCACACAATGCAAGAACTGTTTCTATGCAGAAATTCCTTCCATGTAGGATAACATCAAGTGTGAAGGAACAGTAATAGCATAATTCTATGCCTAGATAGTTGGAAGTAAGTCCTACTGAGTTCAATGAGACTTATTTCCAGGTAGGTGCATGTTGGATGTGTGTTTGTGTATGTGGGGAGGCCTACAACTCCCAGCTCGGGAATGCTGGGCATTGCAGGACTTGTTTCCTCATCTTAACATACACCCTACATCAGCTGAAGATTTTAGGGTTGTCTAAAATCAGATAATCTGAACTGCCTAGCTAATCTGAACTTTCTAGTAATTCTTAATGGACATAAGTCATGCTCTTAGGCATCAAAAGCCTTCAAACCCTTTGTATGTGTTTTATTTCTGTACTGGGAATAGTTCCATCAAAGAGAAGAGGCCAGTTGTCCGATACTATTATCAAAGTCAGGAAAACTCTGGGAATCTGTCCAACGTTTACCAGCAAGTGCACGTGTCCATCCTTGTGATATTGTCCTGCCCTTAAAGAACTGGCTAACATTCCTCGCAACCTAAAAATGTCACTTGCAAATAAGAATTCTTGCAAGTTTGAAGTTAAATTTGGACAAATGTTTGGCACAACTGATGTCTTCATTATGGCTGCATGCCATGTACGTTAGTGCAAACAGCTTGTATGCAATAAATTCCAAATATAAGGTAAGTCTGGTTGAAAATTACTTCCAAGTCAGACACATTAGGATTGTTCTATTAAAGCAGTGAAGCTGGATCCTGGAAAAACACTTACATGGAAAAGGATGCTATTAAAATCAAAATTGCAGAAAGGTTTGGCAGTTGTTACCTGTACAGTGTACTTTCATTATTTCTTTTATATTCACAGGTAGCCTGTATATCTGTTGTTGGACTAGGCACAGTTATAGTGTTTTCTATGTAAAAATGTATCTGCTTTCTATATTTTCAAGGAAACCATCTTTTAGTCTTCAGTGCATTTCTTGTAAATGTCAATACAATCTTAAAAAGAAGGAAAGGTTATTTTTAAAAGCAGATACATGTTCTAGTCAATGAAAAATAATGTCAGTAGAAAGTATTAGAACTATAAAAGACACCTGAACAATCTGCATATACTGTAAAGCGCACTGGAATAGCCATAGGCTGATTCACATAATGCTAAACAACCATGGGCTAATTAACCTGCAGGGCTTTGCTGGCCAGCTAGCATATGCAAAATAGTGTCTGGTACAATTTTGAAGCCCAGCATAAATTGTTCTTGTGTTGTCCAAGGGTAGCCTCACTTAACCCATACTGCTTAGATTCACATGACAAGCCAAACTGTGTACCTGCTACAGCTTATATTTATGAAATGGTAGCTGGCATATGCTGTGAAGCCCCACAGATTAATTAACCTACCATGGCTTAACTTTTTGTGTGAACTGAATTTGTCTGGGTTTATGCAACATGAAAATTCAAGGTTGAGTATGTGTTGAGTTTGAGCTGTCATTGACAGAGGGTTGTTGGGTTGTGTGAACCCAGCACTGTGTTCAAACCATGTTTTTTTGCTGTATTATGAACTATGCGTTGTTCATGGTTGAAATCAGGGTTTGTTAGGACAGCTGGGTTCATACAATACAATAAGCTATAGGTTAGTGACAGCCCATATTCAGCTTTGAGAATATGTTGTCATATTTTGTTAACCCAGCAAATGATAATGGGTAGGTCATGGTGTCATAATTATGTGCTCCTTAAACTGCAATAATGTCTGATCTTCAGAATTAGAGGAGATGGCACACTTTTTGAAAAACTGAGTACTTTGGGGGTTTTGAGGCCTTTGTCAAGTAGGTGGGTGGGTTGTAGTGGTGATTGCAGAAGAAACAAATGCATCCTACATTGAATAATAATACTTTTTTGGCTTTTAATTAGTAGTGGCATGTGGAGGAATCAGTTCAGTCATCTGATGAAGTAGGTTCTAATTCATAAAAGTTTATGCTGTAATAGGTCTGGTCATCTTTAAGGTGCCGCAAGAAATTTTGATTGTATTGCAATTGACTAATGCAGCTACTCTAGTGTAATCTGTTTAGTAATATTAAGGACACAGTTCTATGCATGTTTAGACAGAAATTTCCAGCAATTCTGAGCCATCATGGCTCGAACTGAACATCTTTTTTCTATCTAAATTTATATAGGATTGTACCTTAAGTTACCTAAGGATCACACACCTGAACTTCATGACAGTCTGAAACTAACAAAACAGGACTAGTTCTCCATAATATGATCACCAAATAAGCCTTTTTATACAAATACCATCACACAGAGCCTGTGTATAGAATTCTGAGAACTCCATTTCCTAATACTTTTTAGATTAACCTGTAGATCTCATCTTTGAAAACACTTTGCACATGCAAAGCAAGCATACAGCCTCTCTGTATGTGAGGACTATATTCAGACTCAGTATAGTTAGGGCTGAGTTATGCTGGCAAGTTTTGTATTGAACATCTATGAAATAAAATAAATGGAACTCTAGTCCCCAGCTCCTAGCTAGCTCGGTTGCCTAAAGGATGCTGGGAATTGTATGAAATCAGGGTGTGGAAGGCTGGCCTAGACAGTGCAAGCTCTCCACTTGCCTGTTCACCTGGAAGAGGTTGGGCAGGTAATAGTCAAAGCCTCCCATTCTGCCTCTGACCTTGGTTTTTCCATACAAAGTGAAAAAGGCAGCACCGTGGGCCCTTCCCAGGTCCTGTGCATCTGAAAGGCCTCACCTTGCCAAACCCAAGGTGGTGGGCTATGGCCCTAGGAGCATTCTTCTCTGCAATTTTATGCATAGTCTGAAGCTGCCTTTACCTGTCAGAGTATTGGTTTGCTGCTTAAGCCAGGCAAGATGAGCAAGCACATGCATTTAATCAATATCAAGGGTTTTTCTAATAATTGCACAATGCTTACAAGCTTTTAAAATATACCAAAAATACATTATCCATTATAAATGAGGAAATGTAATAGGCAGAAAAACATATCCTATGTTGGGCAGTTCTTAGTGTATTCCAGTGATTTCCATAAACTGCATAGCAACTGTACTCTGCTAGTGGTGATCTGTGGTATCTGGGACATTTTCTAACCCATGTTTCAAATAAGATGCAGGGAAGTGTCATGTGCTGCCTCTTTTGGTGTCTTCCTTATGGGCACAATAATGGACAGATTCCATTTTGTTTGTATTTCAAGGTGGTCGAGAGAATAAAATGCCCATCCTGATCTCCAAGATTTTTAAGGGGCTAGCTGCAGATCAGACCGAGGCACTGTTTGTAGGTGATGCCATTCTTTCGGTCAATGGTGCTGACCTCTCTGATGCGACACATGATGAGGCTGTGCAGGCCCTGAAGAAGACCGGCAAGGAAGTGGTACTGGAAGGTAAGCAGGCCATGCTGCAAATAGCTGAGAGGCTAAAAGTCCCATATCTTTCATTTACGACTTCTTCCTGGTTTATGTCCTAACTATAGTTCCTCGGGATAACAACAGGGTTTTCTTACTGTCTAATGCATGTGTGTAGTGTTTCCTATGTCCTCTTCTCCAGGATCATGGAAACAAAGTCCAGATGATCTTAAGTTGGATCACTATGATGCCAAAGGAGACAAGTGTGTTGACTGTGCTAGCCATTGCCTCTTTCCAGCAGATACCACGAGGTTCTGCCCTGTGGCTCTCTGTTGTTGATGTGGAGATTTATGTACCCATTAGGTTGGAATGTGGAGGCACCCAGGACAAGCCAGCTTTTGTAACTAACAGCCTCTATTGGCAGTTCTCCTGGATCCTCAAAAAGGGACCTGATTTGCCTGTAGATTTGCATACTGATTCATGATGGTAATACATGCTTGCGTCTGCTATCTATCTGTTCATTCTTAGAAATAGAAATCTGTGCTTCTGTCTCTTTTTAGCAGATTAATTGTAGGTGCTCGCTCCATGATTCCCTGTGTCTTATCCCTTAAAATAAAAATCTGCCAACTCAACACTTTAGCAAGAAATAGAGTAACTATAGTCTTTGTCTTTTCAATCAGCTTGAGATGTGGCCATTGTTAAATATGAAATACCAGATTTAGCTGTGGAATCTCCTAACCACTGCAGATACAGTTCCCTTCAGTTCTAGTGATTGGTTAGAACCTGACAAACTGAAAGCTCAGTGTACTGGCTGCTGCCCCAAACTTCCAAACAACCAGAAGATTCCAAGGTGGTAATCAGATGGGAGATTATGGCCAAAATGTATTGTATTTATTGATCGGTGTGCATGTGTTTATGTGCACGTACATGCATTTGTGTTTGTGTGACTGAGTACAAGAAAGATACTCTAGAGAAACATGTTTTAAATATAACAATGCCTGTATTTTTTCAGGGGAATTAGATAAGTCTGTTATTTCTCCAGACTCCATCTTGTTACATGAAGGACCCAAATATGCCATAGATCATATTCAAAGGGAGATGTGAGCTGCCACAAATGGTTGTAAATAGCTGAAAAGTAAATTTAATGCTTGCTGAAGTCTGTTGCCAACCATTTCTGCTTCTCTCCCCAGAGCAAAGTGGTGCTGTTCCTGCCCTTCCCTTAATCAGTCTTATCTCTTGGAAGACACTTGGCCTAGTTGTCAGCTATCTGTGTATTGTGCGAATACACTTCCCTTAGTGTATTTGATCAAGGGATGTATGAGCATTCTCTTTTAGATCTACTCAAAAGGGGTTGGACTTTTGTAAGCACTTCCTTTGCATGTTTGCAAGAGCTCGAACCTTTCCTGGGTGTTTCGTTCATGCATGGAGGAAAGGCTTGATGGGTGTCTCCTCTCTGCTGCTTTCCCATGCTCACCAGGAGCCAGGAAAGCTTACCTGTGGCAGATAAAAGCCTCTGCTCCCTGACAGAGCATCCCTTGTCACTGTGGATGGAACCCAAGGTCCCTGCATTCCTTATGAAAATAGACATGAATACGACCATTTTCCCAGTGGGTATTTGTAGTGCTTTCCCTGCAGGAATGGAGCAACCTTCATTGCTGCCACCTGCCTCCTTCTACCATCCCAAAGTAGGTAATGGGGGAGGGGTGTTGGGTGCCTGAGGTTTGCATTGCCTTGCGCCAGCATTTAGGGAATAGCAAACCCAGCAGCATCCTTGTTTAAGCCTTCATAGATAAGTGTTCCCTGCTGGGTGCATGAAATAAAGCCTAGTGGAGTGGATTTAAATGGAATGGGACGTTCTGCCTTCCTGAGTTTAGAAAGCAGTCTGTGATGGGGTGTGGGAGCCATCCTGCTTTGCTGGCAAAAATGAAACAGAAGAGACCCTGCAGCTGGCAGAGAATCCCTTGATTCTTTAGCAGCTTTGCTAAAGCAGAACTGGAAAGATCATGCGATCTACCTTGTTTTCCACTATAGCCCGGAGACCATGGGCTGGTGCAAATGATATATACCAAGCATGAAAGAATTCTGAGCTCAGGCATTTCTTTTGAGTTTCAGAGTGCAACAGAACTCATAGTCCTTCCATATGAAAGCTCACTCTTAGATACCCTTCATTTCTATGTAGTTGCAGGGAGTCTTTTCCTTGATGTTGTATAAACAATCAGAAGTCAGAAATCCCTGGCAATCTCCTGCAAAATTCCCAGATACCTAGCAGCAGGCCCAACTCCGTCTTCTGCTTGCTCTATCTACCTGTCCTGTGTAGGTTCAGTTCTATTTCAAAAGTAGTACAAGCACTTACGTTCCTCTCCATTTTGCAGACATGACGTAAAATCATTCATTTATTTGTCCTTGATGCTGCGCTCTTATGAGAAATGCTTTTATGTTTCCTATGCTACAGGTGAGGTACCTGAGGATTATAAATAGTGGTAGATTCCTGTCATCTCTTTTCAACAGGTCTTTCTTTAGCACAGAAACCAAGGTCTGTAGAGCTGGAGGAGAGATCTGTTTAAAAGGGTGCTGGTTTTGCCGTAGTAGCTATTACGATTTAGACCTTTAATACTGGGCATCAAGTTGACAATTCTTAATTTAAAACACTCTATTCCTTTTTATGGCAGTTCTTCCTTTAATGTGTCTAGTTTATTGTTGCCATGGCAACAAGACTTGCTTTGTTTGTCTTTAATAGTTTCCCCTTCTTTAAAAAATGCAAACCTCATTTGCTTACACAATGGGTTTTTTTGCATGACATGGCAGAGCATGCTGAGGATGCAGTGTGTGCTGGGTGCGGGTGCGGGTGAGGCTGTCATTCTGAATATGCAACCTCCACTCAGGTTGTCGTGTTAAGGAAGCACTGCTTATGGGTTCTCATGACACAAGAACCTCCAACTGGGGGTTGGATGTATAACCTGGTGCCAGTGGGCAGCACAGCTCATTGTGAGTTAAAATAGCCCACAGGGAGCTGCAGGGTGTCATCTTTTAGGAAGGACAAAAATACCCTGTAATTTCCTTGTTAAATTGGGCTGTGAACCTTGGGCACCCAAGAGAGGTGGTGTGAGAGGAAAAAGGCACGGGTTCCAATCCTTGCTCAACCATGAAGGTCAAAGAGTGCCAGGCCCAAGGTTACCTCTCAGCCTGTCCAATCTCATGAGATAAAATGGAGGCATGGAATGCTACATATCTTATGAGAGAAGAAAGGCAGGATAAAAAATGAAGTGCTCTCTGCTAATCCCATTTCCATCAATGGAACTTTTACCAACAGTAAGAGGAGGGATCTCAGTTGGGGGTGATGCACCTGTGACCCTCCAGATGTTGGTGGATATCATCCCTGACTATTGGTCGTGGTGGCTGTTGTGGATGAGAGTTGTCTCCAGCAACATTTGCAGGAGCACAGGTTCACCACCCCTGACTTTAACAGACAAAGCCATCTGTCTCTCCCCGAAGGTGATTGCTAGCAGGAGCTGTCATGTTGCTCCGGAACCAAATCACGCTGTTCTCCTGTCATAAGCCACCACAAGGAGATTCCTTGCTTCCATTTTCTGGTTATGAAGTCTGGCCATTTTGATTATTATGGTTGGGTAACTCATGGGTGTTCAGTGACTTGAACAAAAGGATAGTAGTGTTCCTTGATAGTTTGGAATCTCTACCAAGATTTTGGAATGCAATCCCCATCAGAAATTGGAAAAATGATTACCCAATTAGCCAATGACAGGGATGAAACAGATGAGCAGTTTGGAGTCGGTTCTGTTCTTGGAACTTAGAGACAGGCAGAAAGTAAAGAGTTTGAGCTACTTCTCAGTTTAAGTTTGAAGATGAGTCAAATGCAAATCAATGGGCAAATCCAAGGCCAAGTCAATAAACATGTAAAGGGCCACAGGCATTAGTCCAGTAAGAGAAGCTAAGTAGGTATACTCAGGAAAAAGGCAAGGGTCAAAGGCACAGGTAATTATTGTAAGTAAGAAGTAAGTAGCTTCTTACCTGGAATTCAACCAAGTAAACTCCAAAAGAAATGGCTGAGTGCAGCCAAGGTCCACATGTGGCTGAGGAGGCAAATTTAAATTGAGTCAAAGGAGGAGAGTCAGGCAGGAGCCCAAGATCAGCCCAACATGGAGGTTCAGTCACAAAGCAAAGGCAGAGATACAAGGTACTTGGGAGCTGGTAGAAACAATATTCAAGGACTGATATAGACAGAGCTGTCAGAGCTCCACCCAAAAGCTCAGCTGTAGGTTGAACTGAGTAGATTGTAACTCATGAAGAATCCAGTTACTACAGCTCTTGTGGTATGCACTGTACTGGTTTCCTCCGTTGCCACCACAGTCTAGTTTATACTGATAATTTTAATTTTATATTATTATGTTTGTAACTCAGTGCATTTTTTGTATTTAATGGTAATTTATTATGTTCTATTGTATTTCAATGTATTTTATTGTGTTGTAAGCCGCCCCGAGGCTTTGGCAAGGGGCGGCATAGAAATGTAATAATAATAATAATAATAATAATAATAATAATAATAATAATAGTTACATCCCTCAGGGATTCCATCTGGGGTTAGAGTCCATTGCTATAGACCTGATGCATCTTTTCCCTTGAGGTCAGCATTGCCAGGGGTCCCATTAGCCTCAGGGGACCCACAGGGAGCATATGTGGTACCACACTGAGCTCTTGGTGTGACAAGTCACCCCAGCTGCATTCTCTTCAGACAAGACTGATGCTAAAGCAATGGCCCTTGGGGAGCCTAATGATGTTTCAAGCTCTTTGATAGGAGTTCACACACTTCCAAAAGGCTCTGCTTCTGTGTAAAATAAATATTACAGAGGAATCATAAGTATACAGTGCTTGCTCATCCAGAGGAAGGCAAACACTTCACTGTTGCCCCAAGCATCTCACTACTATTCAGAGTAGTGGGGAGCCTGTAAGAGTATTGACAAACTGCACAATCTTCATCCAAACAGAGGCAGTAAGATTGCTACCTTTACTAGGCTCAAGCAATG